TGGGTCAAGAACAGAATCAGAAAGCTGGCAAGAGTTTAAACCAAAGTGTTAACAGCAGCTTGGTGGATTTCAATGTATTACCATATATAATTAGATGCTGGCTGGCTGGCTGGCGGGATAGACTGATATCTGTAAGGAAGTCAGGGAGGAAGAGAAGAAAACAAGTGGTTTAGAAAGGATTTAGAAGATCTATAAGTGCGAATATGGAAAGATTATTGAGTGAAAAAAATGTAGAAAGCGGATTCTTTCAGTCTTTCTTTCTTTCCCTACCTCCCTCCCTTCTTCCCTCTTTCCTTTTTTTTTGACTTTGGATAGTGATAGTGACCAGATGACCAGTCAATAGATACCTTCTGCATGTGGTGGGGTGGGCATTTCCGGATAGATCCACTCAAAAGTGCTGCAGAAATAACCTCTAAAAACTGCAAATGGGCCAAGTGGGGGAAGGGGTACTTCCGTTTCAGTCTGCACTCTTGTGCCATTTGAGTTCTTTTCCTTTTATAATAAAAACAAAGAAAGCAAGCCAGGCAGAGGGCTGGAAGTAGAAGGCAGGCCTTGCAGAGGGGTCATCCTGAGTTCAAAGCTGATGGTGAGGCCTCAGGCAGGGGCGGAGGCACCAGTGAACAAAGTGGCCTCCTCCAGGGAAACCGTGACCTGGTGTCCATCGTGGGATGACAAATGGCCCTTCTGCCACCACCACACATGCTTAAGGCTGTGATTCCTGGCTGGGGCTCTGTCTCCTCCCACAAAAGCCTCTCATTCTTGATGACATTAGGGACAAAGAACTGAATGATTCTGAGGATTGTCTCACACAGGAGTGGGAGACACTGTTGAGCTTGAAGAACACCTTCCTGTCTCACTCAAATAAGCACCCGACAAAGCCCCAGGTGTGTTTCTGACAAATGCCATCAGATTCCTGAGGCCTGATAACTGTGATGCAATAGACAAAGGATGGAGAAGAGCCAGCACTGGGTCCAGCCAAGTCTTTCCATATATTCACCCAAATCGCAGCCTCTGTTGTGCATGGGTCCTGTGGAATCTGGATAGACCAGCCCATGAGAGCTGAGGGACCCAGGGGGCCACACAAGCCTGAGTCTCTACATGCCTCCCCTGGGGAGAGACCACCCAGGCATCTCAGGAGTTTCTGGACATGGCCTGCAATATTCATGGGGTCATGTGAAAGACTAAACTGACAAGTGGTCCTGGTCCTCTCTGCACCTTATTTTCTAATTTTCTCACTTTTTAAGTTGGCTGTCGGCTTTGTTTGCATCAGAACTGGCTGCTCCCAGAGTTTCTGGTTCAGGAAGCCAGGGCCACAGCTGGGAATGTGTGCTCAAAGAGACTCCCTGTGTGACTACTGTTGTCCCCACTTAGGGGCCACTGTTCTAAAAGAACACACAGAACAAACAAGGGCAAACGGGTCACTTGATTCTCTCCTTCGTGTAACAAATTGGGTGAGGTCTATGGTAAGCTGGAGAATGCCCTTCTAAAAGGAGCCACTGCCACTGCCACAGGGATCCACACAGAGCAGGGACAAATGGTGTCCAGTGTTTTCAGCTGTTTTGATTTTCTTTGTAAGAACAGTCAGAAATACAGATTTTTTTTTTTCTGTGAACGCTTGTAATCTTTTGGTCATCATTGGCAAGTGACTGTAAGATTTTTCAAACATTGTGCAGGCCAAACAAAATATATCTGCAGGCAGGATTCTATCCTCTGGCTGCTGCTGTAAAATGCAGATAAGGTTCCCATGGAAAAGAGGCAGGATTAGAGATCTCTGAGCCAGCAGCCTTTGACCCTTTGAGGAGAAATGTCAGCCTGGCCAGAATCCCCCACCTCCCCACTTCTCGATGTCACATCTAGACCCCTCTACCAAGTTCTCATTGCTCCTCCTCTGGCCACGCACCAGATGCTGTGTACTCTAGTCATTCACAAGTGTACCTCTCTCGCCTCTGAAACCCCCGTTCAACCTTGTCTTTTCTGACCACTGGGTGTTACTGCATGCTTTATTCTGAACCGCTCTGACCTCCTCCTTCAATTTGTGCTAATTCTCACTTGTCCTGCTCAATTGTCATCTCCTTGGGACCTTCCCTGACCACAGTTCTCCCACCCTAGCTCTGCACCTCTCAGCCCCCATCATGCACTAGGCTGAATTGGCCCAAAGATGTATCTCTCTCCTCTATTACTCTGGGTGCCCAGGAGGCCTTGCTGCCTCTGAGTCCCCAGGGCTGAACCCAAGGCTCAGTGCAGGACACTGTTTTCTTGGCCTTGTTCTCATCTGCTTTTGGTTTGCCTGGCTATTTCCTGTCTATCCTTCAATCCTCTTTGCTATGGGAACTGTCCCTGACCTCCCAGGCTTCTCTGCCCTGCCCCCCAGTCACACCACAGTGTCATTGGCTGCTTTGGTTCCCCAATACCTTCAGCCTTCTCCTGCTACACTGAGCTCTCACTGACACAGGGAGGGAATTGCTCATCGGACCCAAAGAGGGAAGTATGAAACCTGAATGAGTGATTCAAGGTGAGAACATGACTCCAACACTGAGCTGTAAACACACTCCTCCCAGCACTGCTCTTGGCTGGTGAGTCGTGAGCATGTGGGCAAAGGTGTGGTGACGGAAGTCACCATTGGCAATCACCTTGTCCAGAACGCCTGGGTTCCTCAGAAACCTCAGTCCACATGGCCTCTTGGCACCCAGCTCCCTTCCCGCACAAGGCTTAGGCTGAAGAGCTGCCATAATTCTATTGTTCTCCCATCCCCAGCCTGCCCTTTACAGGGTTACAAAACTACATGCTACCCGGGGGCAGCCCAGAGAGAAGGGCTGTCTGCACTGTAGGGGGCCAAGGGAAGGCCATTTCACCTCCAAGCAGGCGATGGCAAAGCCAGTGAGTGGCTGACCAGCTGAGAGTGAACCTCCCTGAGTCCTGGATCAGCAAATGTGACCATGAGACCCAGATCCGTGTTTCATCTGGTCTGTCCAGTTGCTAGGCTCCCTACTAGCTGCCTACCTACCATGCGAGGCTGAGGAAAGAATGCAGCCAAGGGACTTGAGGTGTGGCTCAAGTGGCAGAGTGCCTGCTTTGCAAGTGTGAAGCCCAGAGTTCAAACCCAGTTCCACAAAATGTGGGGAAGGCAGGCATTGCTCCTTTCTTTGTGTCCCAGATCCTCCCTTCCACTCCCCTTTTGTTTTCCAATTAAGTGTAGAAGTGACTTCCTCCAGAAACCTGGGATTCCCTCCAGCCCCACTCCTTCCCTTCCTTTGTCTCCCTTGAGCACACTGCGTTATGACTGGGTGTCTGTCTCCATCCCAAAGACTGTGTGTTCCTGGACATCAGGGATTGTGACATGCTCTGCTCTCCAGTGACTGGTTTGGTGACCATCCTTCCTCTGCTACTTTGTGAGCCTCCCCAAGGTCATGCAGCAAGAAATCCTGTCTATGAACTGAACTGGAGTTGAAAGGGGCACTGCAAAGAGGAAGTGAAATGATATAAAATTTGAACAACTCTAGGCACACAGTAAGCACCTGATGAATATGCAAGGAGTTCCTAGGAGATCAGTACATGCTTCATGTATTAACGGATGATGGAGGGAAAGAGGTAAGTAATCAGCCAAGGGCAAGCTGGCACATTCAGCGTTGTGGTAACCCCGAATAAGGAGATGTTTGATGTACCCTAAGAGGGAGCTGATGGAATAGTTCCATGCAGTGGACTGGAAGCAGGTCTTGGGCAGTGAAGAGAAAGGCAGACCCCCTCTGAAGGTGTCCTCTCTATTAGGAGCATATTGAGACTTAAAGGCACAACAGGGCACTTCCCTGCAACAACAGTGTTTTCTGCCAGCAGTTGCCCCTCCAAGGACACCACTTGCCGACTACTCCCTCTTCTCTTCATTCCAAAGGGCAGACTCAGACACCAGTCATCCAGGCCTGGGGTTTCTCATTCCCCCTCTGCCACAGCCCTCCCCAACTCAGTTAAACTTTCTGCAAAGGCTATCAGCAGAGGGGCAGGAGAGTGCAAGCTTCAACATGAGAAGGATTCAAGTCCAGAGTCTTGCACGTCTGTTTGCCTTTCTGCACTTCAGTCACCACATAATATGGGGTTACTAGTTCTTCCCTCACTGGGCAGTGGTGTAAAGAGACAGGCACAGTGCAAAGCACAAAACAGACCTTGACAAATAGGAGAGGCGGGTGAAGCCCTCTCTGTACAAAAGGCCACTCCTTGGGACAAGCGTAAACCAGCTCTGGACTCAAGACTAAGAGTTTCCTGACCTCCCAGAAACCCCAGAATGTTGATGGAGTCTGGGGGTCTGACCTTCCGGAGTCAGCTGTGGCAGCGCTAATTGGGGTCTCCAGGTCACCAGCTTCCCACCCTTGATGGAGGAGGGGCTAAGGGTCCCTGCTTTCTCCAGCCTGGCTTCTGCAGCGCTGACCCACTGAGCAGCCAAATGGCAGCTTTGGGGGAAGATGGGCAGGTCAGAGGGCTTCCAGTGGAGATCCAGGTACAGCCTGCTCCCTAAGGTGACTTCGCACTAGGTCACACTGGAAGTAGACATCTATCAGAGGGGTTCCCTGTATTTCTTTTTTCTTTCCTCCCTTCTTCCTCCACCAGCCAAAGGAAAACAGAGTTGGCCGACTTGCTTGGATCTGCACTCCACCTGTCCCTCGCCATGCTACTCTGCACACTCATCTCTTTGAAACTGTTTCCTCATCTACAAAATGAGTGAACTCCTAACTCCCTCAAAGGCTGTGTGGAGCTTAGCTGAAGTGGTGTGTCTAAAGGCCCTGGGAGAGTGTCTGGAGGCCATGGAGACAACAAGCCGCAGCCTTCACAACTGTGCTATCCGGTTTGGATGCCCCTGGCTGAAGCTTGATGAGTGAATGCTGCCCACCCTGGGGGCTGGGAGTGGGAAAATCCACGGTCCCTGAGAACACAAGGCCCTTGCTCCCCCCCCCCCCCCCCCCCCCCCCGCCCCGTTGGGTGAGATGCCCTGGACAGGGCTCCAAAGTCCTCACCATGCACTTGCGGTCATCTATGCCTGTCAGATCCTCCTCGAACTCCTTCCCAACCTCGAAGTCCATGATGTAGTTCCTAAAAGTGCTCAGCGTGCGAATGATCATATGGTCTCCTTCCTGCACGATCTCTTTGTCGGGTTTCAGCAAGTTGGCGATTTTGCGCAAGGCCACATTGACATCTGCAAGGGCCGCAGAGACAAGACACAGGCAGATAGGTGACAAGAAACTACAAGACTCCTCCTCAAGGTAGCCGGGCCCCAAGAGCGGGTTCCGCCCAGGAACATGGCTGGGATTCCCCGCTGGCTTTGCACTGCACTCAGCCTGTTTGTGCTTTTTTTTCTTTTGGGAACGAACTTTCCTGCCCTCCTGCTGACCCTTTAAAACAAAAACTAGCAAGGCAAGCCCAGCTTTACTAATTAAATTACCCACATCCAGAGCCAGCTAGCCGACACTTGCCTCTGATCACCCCTAATGGCCCTAGATCTTGCAAGTCGCAGTCGGTGGTCGCGCTCTGTGGCCCTTTCTGCCTTTCTGTGCGGGGTGCGCCGAGAGGGCCCTGGGGAGGGCCAGGCAGCCTTACCGAGCGCGCGCAGGTACTCCTCGAAATTCTCGTTGGTCAGCATCTTCCAGTACCCGGTGAAGTCCACGGGCATGTCGGGGAGTGACTGGGGACACGCGGGCACGGAGTCTCGGGGATGTGCCGGGACAGCGGCTGCCGATGTGATCCGATCCGGGTGGTGGGCGGCCCGGAAATGCGCGTCCTCTGGGGACAGGGGGGCTCTGTGGGGCGGCGACAGCTGGATTCCGGGCAGCGCGCACAAAGCCCGCGGGAGGATCCATTGTAGCCGTCGCCCCTCCCCACTCGGCGGGGCGGGGGCGGGGCGGGAGGTTTGTCCCTAGCCGGTGGCCACCTTCAAGTTCAGACCTCCAATTCGCTTGCCCTGTGAAGGGAGAGGAGATGGTAGGAGGCGAGGTGCTGCTTCATTGGCCCCTATTTTTCGGTTCCTGAGGAATTCCTCTAATCACTGTGAACTTCTTTCACCCTCGGCGGACCCTTGAGGACTGGGCAATCAGTGTCCAAAGGTTTGCTGGCGTGATTAAGAGAAAGAGGCCATTTACTGGTCTTTGTGTACAGCTTTGTGCCGGCTCGGGAAAAGCGAGGCTGTTCAACTCTGGGGGACAAGATGGGAGTGCCCCCCCCCACATCCCTCCCGGAAAATGAAAGCAAAAGTTGATGCTATTTGAAGTGCATTGGGCGGAAAAAGCCCTCCGGTGAGCCTGTTGTCTAGTTAGAGACCCACTGCTTCATGCAAATGTTGACAATCAGCCATCACCTCCCCTTTCCCTAATGGCAGCATTATCCCTGCCCCGGTGTTCTGCAATTTTTTTTTTAAATTCACTTAATGTATTCTGGGGCCCTTTCTGTGGTAGAAGGCATTCCCCTGTTCTTGCAGGGGGTCCCATTGTTCCTCCAGCGTGGCTCCCATTGCTGGACATTTATGTGACTTCTGATCCTTTGCTATTAGCAACAGATTCTTTGATCACATCTATCTTGCCACCGGTGCGGGTATGTTATGGTGCTTTAAAACGGCTGTCTGCGCCACCCAGGAGATGGCATGATCACAGTGGTTGACTTTTTGACACTCTAAGAAAAGACTAAGTATCTCTTTTAGAGGCTGCTCACATCACAGCCTGGATGACAGCAGGTACATTTTCTTCCCTCCTAGCAGCACTTCTGTGCCCTCCCCATCCCCCCAGGGCTTCTGTCAGTCCTCAGGCTGGGATGCATTTGACTGAGTGAGGAAAAGATGCCCCCTCCCAGGGCAAATAGCTTCCTCCAGAGAATGGCTTGGGTTCCTGCCCCTCTCTCCTCCCTGGCTCTCCACCTGGTTTCTCAGCCTCACACTATTGATAACTATTTGTTGTGGGGGCTGTCCTGTGTCTTGTAGGATGTTTGGCTGCTTCTCTGGCTTCTATCCCCTAGATCCCAGGGCTTCCCACAAAGATGCCTCCAGGTGTTGAGTGCTGTACTCTTATCCCCACTGGGGCCCTGTTTTCTTCCTGTCCTTTGTGGGGCTCTGCACTGCTCAGGTTGGAAGTTGTTCACACAGACACTGGCTCTGGGTCCATCCTGAGCCAGCCCAGAGCTCATCTTGGCTGGGCAGTCAAGGTGGCCCAACCCAAAGGTGCAAGAGGACACTTTTGTGGGTCAGTCAGGAGCAAGGTCGGTCCCTGACTGCTCTTTGGTACAAAAACAGGGCCAGCTACGGACGGTCCTGGGCTTCCTTGTCATCCTGACTCACTGGAATGGAGGACCAGCTAGAGGCTTGAACAGTGAACTGGCCTTTCCTTGGTCACCCCCAGTTAGTCTAAAGTCCTCATCCTGCTCCCCGACACCATCTAGCTCAGTTAACTGGGATTTCTCACCCTCTTCTTCCTGCTCCCTTTGGCCCAGTCTCCTGAAATGGCTTATGCCAAAGCCCAGTACAGTGCCTGATACACAGGAGGGGCCCCTATGCTCTGGGCAGAGGTCTGTTCCCCAGGCCTCCCCTATCCACCCCAGGGAACCAAGAGCCGCCTGGTCTTCTTTCCTCTGACCACTTGACCTGCTCACATAACCTTTCCTGTGAGCTGGCTGGTTAAGCACCTAGCACTTCACTCAGTTATTTATTTGTTCTTTGCCTTGTTTCTTTGCCCCCTCAACAGTTCCATATGCTCCTCCCAGAAGGCTCCCCCAGGTGTGGACCCCACTGTTTCTTATAGCTGGGTACAGGTTGCCTGTGTAGTACTTAGAGGCAGAACGCTTGGTTTGATGCTGCCTGTGTCATTATCTTACTGAGTGACCTTGGGTAAGCCACTTAGCCTCTCTTTGCCCCTATTCCCACATGTATAAAATGGGGATGCTGACTACCCACCTCTCCAGGTGATGAGGAACAAGAGACACGAGTATAAAGGGTATGACACAGAGAGTTGCTATAGATAAACTGGCCTCTGAGACAGAGGAGCCTTAGGAGTGAGGGGAGACAAGAGGCAAGGGAAATAAGGGTGCTGCTGTTCTGGGTCCCCTTGCTGGGGCCCTAAACCAATCCAATGAGTTGAAGGGGAAGTGCTCCATTGAAAGTGCCCCAATGTGGCTATTCTTCCTCTTCCGACTCCATCAGGCTAGGCTGAATGTTTTGGAGCATCTTTCTGTCTGAGGCAATATTACTTAGAATGTGTAAAGCAAAAAAGGAGCGACTGAGGAGAGGAGTAGGGAAGAAGGAGAGCATCTCTGTGGGCTGGCAGACCCTGAAGCTTCCCTGGAGAAGGGGAGGCTCCGGCTCCCAGGAGGATCAGAGAGGTAAGGGTCAGGATAGTACAGGGGGAAAGAGGAGATAGGCTAAGAAAGGAATGCAGAGGAAAGGAAGGGGCAGGGGAGAGAGAGAGAGAGAGAGAGAGAGAGAGAGAGAGAGAGAGAGAGAGAGAGAGAGAGAGAGAGAGATTAGGATACCCCTAATTGAGCTTGCTTCATTCACTAACCTTAAAAAAGAACAGTAGAAATCTATAATTCTTGGAGGCTGAGGTCACAGCCATAGCGCAGACAGGCCTGTGGCTGTGTGTGTATAGTGAGACAGAGGCACCAGGAAATGTCCTGGGTGGGGAGTGAGGAGGGAGCCCAGGGTGGGTGGGGAGTGAGGAGGGAGCCCAGGGTGGGTGGGGAGTGAGGAGGGAGCCCAGGGTGGCCCCTGGATGGGGCTGGGGGCTCCAGGCACTCCTTGTGAGCCTGGAGCGACAGTATGCCTTTGCCTTTCTATTCTTTGGCCAATCAGTTGACTGCACGGGAAAAGATCAGTGATATGAGAACCTCACAAAACCACGCCTGCTTGCCTGCCTTGTGGGGTAGGCATGCCTTTGCCTGTGTCACTGGCAGGCCAACAGTCCCAAGTTGCTGGAGCTGCAGAGCTTCCCAAGGGGAATGGGGTTGGAGCAGGGAGTCCTGGAATGGACCCTGAGGCTCTGTCTCTCCTCAGCAAATGCTCCTCTCAGGATGCTGGGGGTAGGGTGTGCCAGCTTCATTTTGCCCTCTTTGCCAGATCTCCTGCTCCAGGACTCTCAGTGCATACAGGGGACTGGTGGCCTGGTCCCCTCATCCACATGCATTGGCTGACACTACACCCTTTCTTGTCTTCTCATGAACTTGGCTTATTTTGGAGAAGGGAGATCTCTTTTTCTGTGTTCAAATACGTCTCTGGAGTTACACTCTGGAGAATGACCCACTCTAGTCTCCTGGCTGTCCCCATGCCATCGGTGGAGTTGATGTCTGACTGGATGAGTGTGGCCCAATGGAGCAGCTTTCCTCTGTCCACCATGGTGGGACATGATAGAATTTTCAGAGAGGCCATGGGCTGAGGACACTGAGGTCAACTGAGGACACTCTTCTTTGATTAGTGGGATCATGCAAATGACACATTATGTCTACAAGTTTCAGAATCTTAAACTCACTTGAGGGAGGGAGTGCTGGAGTTATTTCTGTGTAGATAATGGTTCTGCAGATTGGGTCAGCTATCCTCCATCTGACCCCTCATCTAATCTCATGGCAGTTGTCTCTGTAGATTATAACATATACTGCAAGAGAAGTCTTCCTTCCTTCCTTCCTTCCTCCCTCCCTCCCTCCCTCCCTTTCTTTCCTCTCTCTGTTCCTCCCCTCTCCCTCTTTTCTTTCCTTCCTCTCCCCTCCCTCCATCCTCCTTCTTTCTTGTCTCCCCTCTCTTCCTCTTCTTGCTTCTCCTCTTCCTCCTTCTTCCTTCTCTGTTATATTTCTTGTTCTCTTAACTATATGATTATAATTTTAATCCTATATAAACACAGAAAGACAAGTATATTGAATGGATTCATTCCTGGGTTCAACAGTTATCAAACCATGGCCAACTTTGCTTCATCTATTTCTACTACCACTCATCCCCAATATCAAAAATTATTGTGAGGCAAATACCAGATGTCATATCATTTCAAGAAGTATCTCTAAAAGGTAAGTACTTGTGCTCTTAATCATAAAGCACTGTGAACTTACTATCTTGCAGTTCTGGAGGGCAAATGTCTGAGATGGTCTCTTGGAATAAAAAGTGTAGGCATGATTGCCTTCCCTCTGGTAGCTCTAGGGAGAATCCATTTCTTGCACTTGCCGGTTTCTAGGTGCTGTATGCATTCTCTAGCTTGTGGCCACATCATTCTGACCATTGTTTTCTTCCTCACATCTCCTTCTCTGACTCACTTGCTGCTTTTAGAAGCGCATTGTGATTACATTGTGGCCATGGAGATAACCCAGGATAACCTTCCTTCTATATCTCTTTAATCTAATCACAGTTGCAAAGCCCCCTTTGCCATAACTGTGTTATGCAATTTTCTATCTCTGTAACAAAATACCTTGCTGGGCATGGAGCACACACGTGTAATCCCAGCTACTTGGGAGGTGGAAGTAAGAGGATCAAGGTCTAAGACTGGCCCAGGCAAAAGTGTGAGATCCTATCTGAAAAACAAAAATTAAAAGCAAAAGAACTTGAGCTCAAGTAGGCTGGGCAAGAGCCAGTAATGGGGAAGGAGGTGGAGTATTTTGAGTGACAGATTTGGATTCCTGTCCAAGATCAGGCAGACCCAGACCTTTGAGCCCTGATGGGAGACCACTTGGCTGAGTTGATCCCCTAACGAATCAGGAAGGACAGGAAATGAGGAAGGGGCAGGGTCTCACAATCCCCTTCAAGGATACACTCTAATGACCTAAGGACCTCCCTCAAGGCCCTACTTCCTAAAGGTTTCATCACCTCCCCAACACACCTCACTGGGCGCCTCCTCAGCACATGGGCCTTTGCTGGACACTAAGCCAAACCACAGCAGTAACAAGTTTGTGGGTCTTGAGGTTCGCACGAGGACATTTTTGGGAGGACTGTTATTCTGCCTACT